GAGGCAGTAAGAAAGTATAAAATGCACGAAAGTTAGTCTTGCAAGTCCCATCACTAATTTGTTGTGAAATCACCGTAAATAAAACCACTGAAGAAATCTCCAGGACATTATTACCTGAAGTTTCTGAACCTGAACCTGAAGAACTTGAAGTGAACAAACTTCAAGCGCTGGATGTACTATGGAGTTGGAATAATGGCGGCGCGATATAAATTATCGAAGAGAAATTTCGGCGACTGATAGTTTTTAGTACAGATAATGTTGTCTTCACTGAATTGAGAAGCAATATCACGACTGAGAAACTAGACCAAGAATCGACTTGAACAGTCGTATATTTTAAGCCATGAAGATCGTATTTATAACGTGTGGTGTAATTAAATTTATCCCAAAAACGACAGGTGTGTTGTAAATAATTGAATAATTGGAGAAATTTCTGCAAGAAATGTTAAGTAATACTATTAGTATGTACATTACCGAAATAACATTTTGCTTTTGAAAAAGATGAAAAATATGAAAAAGATTTCATTAGCAAAGGAGAAGGCATAAGTTCTGAACAAATATTTGTCCTGGTGACCATGAAGTCATCAAAGACATTGCGGGTGAAGTATGTTGCGGTTAGAGTTAGAATGTGGATAATGAATCTGCGATTATGTTGGTAAAGAAATTCAACAATTCCATCAGACGGCCAAACACATGTTTATTGTTTATCAGAGATACAGTATGGATATACGCAAAATAGGCGCTTTGTCGTCGAGTTGCGGATACCAGCCCGTTGCACCAAGTACCAAGTACAGTATGGATGGCGTGTACTGGAAGCAGCAACAAACCAAATTTGATCCTATTTTAGATTATAATTAAAGAAAGTCAATGACATTCAATAGATAGGATCAAGAAACTAATATTTGGATCGTGTTTTTTTTGTGTTTTTTCGTGATCGTGTTAGTTTCCCGTTAAATTCTATTAATACCTACACTTTTAAAATTACACTGGCTAAAAACTCGTTTTACGACTAACGGAGCCTAGTTTTGTGCGATTTCAAGACAATAGATAATTTTCTAATGATTTTGACAAACCGTAACCCTTCACAAAACAAAATTAATGCTTGTTATAAATCATGTTATAGCTGCATTTTATTAATCGAACCAGCGTCAAATCTTTTAGAACAGTTTTAGCCTTCTCTACGACCCCGTGTATGTCAAAACGTATACATATAATATATGAAGTGATTCAGACCTACACAATATTTTTTCTATGATCATGTAAACGTACAGTGTACATTCTAATGAAAATATCTCATTTAAATTTATTGTATTCTGAATGGCCATAGGGTATTTAGAAAAATACTCTAAAAATCCCGGTTGCGTTTTTCGTACCAAACTTAGCATACTGGCCTGAAGCATGTAAAAATGTTATTTAGTACATTTAACGTACATTGGGCGTTTAGTGCTTTCCCCATTGTAGTTTAATGGGTTTTTCACTCAGGCCGTACACTTAGGAGGTAAAATTTTTTAAGTTATAAATAAATAATAATAATATAATAACGCACACACTCAACATAGCCCCGCACTAGGGAAACCCTGTGTCGCGGGTGCCATGGACACAGACATAGACAACCACAAATTACACCCAAACTCACGAGAGAAATAAATGTAGGCCATACAAATATTTCTCCCGGCCCGGGAATCGAACCCGGGGACCTCTGCGTGGCAGTCCGGTATGGTAACCGTTCGGCCAAGGAGGCAGTTAAAATCTTCTGTTGTTAATTAATTATACTGCACGTGACTTGAAAAGACACACACACACACACAGGCAGATCTCCAACGGGAGTCGAACCGGGACCTTCTACATAGGAGGCAAGATTTATCCCTACAGGACTGTTACAGCACAGCTTGTAATCAACATTATTATGTCGTAATGGTCACACTGTCAATTATTGTTTGCACGGTTTGCACGGTTTTAGTTCGAAATTTGGGTTATGTTTTCTCAGTTGCTTTGTCGTATTTGTCAAGATATACGAGTAGTTTTAAAATTGTGTTCGTATATGAAAAACTGTTGTGGCAATGCTCAAAAATCCAAACAGGTATTTCCATTATGCTATACTATTTATTTTGGAAATGCAGCAAATATAATTATTAATAATAATAGCAGATACAAATTCAGGTGTAGGTAACTACACATAATACTATGACGGCGTGCGCAATCATTTATAAACAATTCCTATTAAATCTAATGTTATTGCTATGAACTAAGGCTACGTGGATTTAATTGTCACAAAAAATATACGTACAATCTATTCTGAAATTCAAGTTCTCGTTGAGAACTTTAAATGTTTGAATACCAAAAGAAATATGAAATACGGTTCATTCGCGTGTTCGCGAATGCATGACCTAGTTTTATAGTCACCTGACTTATTCGAAACTTAATAAATTGTGACGTATTTTATGTAGAATAATAGTTTTTAATTTAGTTAATTTATAATATGAATGTTTTTTAGGATTAAGGGCAAAAATTTGCTTAAAAATTGTTTTATTTGATTTTTGCAAATAAACATATTTTCATTGTTGTAGAGTGAAACTGTATTAAAAGAATATCTTAAAAATAAATTTATTTATAAATGAGTAGTACGTAAATTAATGAACATGAATTGGTATCTTAACCATAAACAAACGCAATGTTTTTATTCAAACAAGATATATACCAACTTGTCAATTACACATATCTAAACTAATTATAACAGCTAGATACAAACAAGAAAAAGTAAGTTTATGAATAGAAAATTTCGTCGAGGCCCGTACCCTGGGTAGACGTGTGTCGATCGTGATCGATCGAATCAAAATGATTTGAACAGCACCGTGTAAATAACCCGATGATAATAAGTGAGGGACTAACAGTTGTGCGCCTGCTGACGTCGCGCCTGTCCATAACAGTTGCAGTGCCACTCAGAGCTTTAAATCGCAAAGATCTGCGGTGCACTGCCTCTGCGCCCATCACCCTGAGACATAAGTTGAAAAGTCCCATATGCCTGTAATTTCACCAGCACCCTTACCGTGCAAAACTGGAACACAGTAATGCTCACATTACTTCTTGGCGGCTGAAATGGGTAAGGTGGCAGTACTTCTCTAGATGAACTCTTTCACAAGGAGCTCTACTGCTACTAAATATAAATATTAGACTTACAGAGTTACATTTTATAGATGGAATTGGATCTCAGTGGTGAATTGTCCAACATATTGGCAGTATTCTCCTTTTGTGTGGCTTTGACTTCGAAGAGTACGAATAGGTAAATGGAGGTCCTGGAAGTCCGAGGTCTTGGTACTTTTGGGTTTTTGTCTTTCCGTTAGCCCAGCTGCAGAGGCAACAGTCTTGTTGTTGTTTTGAAAGTGGGACGAGCAAATGTAATGATGCATGTAGCGCCTCACATAAGTGTCCGACCTATATAATATAATGACATAACTTCGGCGAAATAATACAAAATACAAGAGTTGCATATTACGTATATTAGATGGAAATGTTATTTTTGTTTCATTTGGCTAGTTCATTGGGTAGTATTTGTAGGGTTTGTCGTGGTACAAAGGAGGAAACATAAAATGGAAAAAGATTCTGGAATATACACAAATACAAGTTCGGGTGGACGGATCAGAAAAGTGGAAGATGTAATACGGATATAATATTGGAATTTACATATTTCTATAAATAGATAGCTAAGGCTATACTTATTTTCGTTTATAGGATATTTTCTAGTGTTCATAAAATAAGTTATAAGTAGGTGCATGTATCTATTGATTGTTTTGGAATATTTTAGAATAAACATTTCATGATAGAGATTAGAGAATGCAGAAATTTAACGCTAGGGTTAGTACTGCGTTCACTCATAATTTGTTCAAATATAACTGTTAGACGTCAGATATAAAACGCAGCGGGCCAGCTTCCGCGCACGTCACTCTCGATCGAGCAGGGCGCATGCGCAGCCGCTCTTCCCGCGCTTTTTGACATTTTAAATTTCGAAAATTGTGTTTGGGTTTTTAATTAGTGCGCCTTTCCGTTTGCAAGTGGTCAGTCACATATTGTAAGTAAGTATTCTTCGGGTCATTTACCTCTGCGTGAAGTAGGTCAAGCTGACTTTATTGTGAGCATTAACGGGTTACTCGCCTTGGTTTATGGTTAAGCTTTATAAGGTTTACTTTTTATTGTCGATGTATATTTTACACCATAAGCAGCTTGCGTTATATTTTTCCAATGTATTGTATGATTGTTAGGTATACTATTTATTTGATGATTATATGATTGTTACTATTATTCTAAGATTGTTACATTATAAATAAATTTCCTTGTCCGAAGTAAGTTAAGAAGCTGTCTGCGATAATCTTTATCTTTCGTAGTTACGCAGCAAAATACTGTTATTATTGTTTTAATTGATTTTAAGCATACACAAACATGTTTCTTTAAATTCCTAATTGAATTTTAATAATATCAGAGGGTATCAGTATTTTGGTATATAAAAATCGTAAATATGTGTGTCCTTCCTAACCGGTTTTCGACACCAAAAATAAATTTAAGGAATTTTTAGCGACAACGAAGCTGGCGACTGCATATTTAGGTTTTTTGTAATGGTAATACTTTCTTCATAAGAAATCGAGTCCGATCCATTATTAATAAAACGAATTCATTTTGTCATTCCCATAGTAGATAAAATTTTTCTTTCCCAAAACTTATAAAATGTGCAATGCAATGTATAAGTACATACTACGTAGCAGGTGGATGGATACGATTTTTTAAAATTAAAATATTATGTAGGACTTCTGAGCTCGATGAAGAAGACGACGAGTGCAGAACAAAATAAACCCTGTGTTAGATATTACAAGGAGTTTTGTAATTACACGATGTGAGTACTGTGAAATAGGATTAATAGTTTGCCTTTCTTCTTTCTTCCTACCTTCTTTTTAAAAATGGCATGCACAGTGCCGTTAAAACCTAATTTGTTCTTAAAACAGCACACATCTAGCGATACTAAACTAGATTAAAATAATATATTAGTTGTAATGATTGCACTTTTCAATTTTCAGCCCTCACACACAAAAGACGTGATGAAAATGCGGCAAACTTTCTTAGGTAAGCACCTAAATACTATTTTACGTTGTTTATTGCATTTAAAGAATTTTGGTGAAAACATAATCGACTTGAATTATTTAAATAACTAAGCGCTTCAGATATCTTTAGATACATACCCTTCAGTAGGAAATTGTCATTTGTGTGGACCGTATGACCGACTAAGTATGGTGTCAACGCAATTTCGTTTTTTGAACTGGTTGAAGTTAACAATGTGACATTATAGGCTGGTAGGTGGTGGATCCTGTGGCATTAAAGTATGTAAAGTACACAAGTACTTGTAAGTATCATTAAACGACTTGCTGACACACGACTTGTTCGCCCCGTCACTTGACTTTATAAAAAAAAATCTTGCTATGTCAATTCGAAATTATTTGCAATATGACGCGAGTTTCGCGTAAAGAATATTTAATTGCAAAGCGGAGATCACGCAATCGCGGCACGCTTCGAATCATTCGCGAGTGTGACCACTGATTACTTTGAAAACACGGTTAATAGTAGTTGTTGCCACCGAGTTGGTTCGCGCCGTTATCGTCCATTTGATCGCAGCGAACATCATGTCCCTTACCACCACAAAAGCGATGTTCAATAGGTTTCAAAACTAAAAATTTCAATTTAGGTACTCGGTGCGGTTATTTATTTGTCCCATACAAGTGTTTAGTACGGCATTTTGTACAATTGAAATGTTTCCACAGTTATACCGAGTGTGAGACAAGAGCATAGAACGTTCGAGTTGTTTGTATTTGAAAACTAATAAACGGAATTCGTGGGAATGCTAACATTTAAACAATAGGCACTGAAGAAAGTTTTGTCGTCCATTCATGACGACATCACCATTCTAAAGCCTGAGAGACTAAATAATGCACTTAGTAAGTACTTACGTAATAAATTTACATGCTCGCAATTTCTCGAAAGTTCCGTTTCCAAGTGTGCAAGGAGAAAGTCGAGATTTATTGTGGTTCCTTGCTTCACACGCTTTGTAAATAAGTACTTTCATCATATTTAACGGATGTATTTTTTATCCACTTTTCGCTGTGTAATCACATCCGACTCTGTTCTTCGGATGAGTTGCTATATCCTGTCTAATAGTTCGGTACAGGACACTTTCATTTGTCAAAGTATTATTTCTTATTCCGAATGAAATTTTTAATGTATTTAAATAATAACTGTGTATAATTATATCCTTACTGTTGTCAGTACAACGTAACTATCCGTACCGCTTTGAGGCAGTGTAATGTGACAGTCTGTGGCCCAAACCAGAGGAGAACTTTTCTGTGTCCAGCTGTGAGATATATCTGTGCGGGCTACAGAGTAACAGCACACAGATACTGTATACAGGTACAGTCTATGTCAGTTTGTGCTACTCATATTGTGTCTGGTCATATAGATGTTATACCAAAAGTTATTTTGAAATGTTTCATAACGACACCAGAAAATTTTGAAGCAAATTCCTGGATGCGTCAAAGTTCATGGCCCCCTGCGATGTTTGCGTAAAAGGTGAATATAAAATCATGCAAAACATTTGTGGGCTCCGAATGACTTGAAGTAACTGGTTGATGGCTATTTCTGAGTCTTACGTGCGCCCATGATCTCATCATTCAAGATTGAAGGATTTTAGTTAGGTATACAGACGCAACGTGGAGGTAACAACAATTAAATCGTACATTACAAAGTAGCAAAAATGCGATATTTCTGCACTGAGTTTTTGACACCACACAAGCACAAGACGCTTATTCGGTACTTTAATATGATTTTAAACGGACTTCAAAGAAAAGGAGGTTCCCAATTCGACTGTATATATATTTTTTGTATGTATGTATGTTACGCGATAACTAAATATATGTTAATTTCTGAACAGATTTTGATGATTCTTTTTGTTGGAAAGAGAGCACCTCAATAGCGGTTACATTTAAATTTGAAGAAAATATTTCACCTCTAAGGGTGGTAAACCAGGGGATTTCCCACATACATAAGTCGCAGAGGTAATATAATTTTTAAACGATGTAAACTAACATAGAAGAAAATAATTATAATATAGAAGAAAATAATTAATGTCCGGAATAAGCCCCTTGACTAAGGGTACATTTAGTGCGAACAAAAAAAAATCCTATATTACTGCAATAAAATTATTAAAGTAATTTTACTATGACAATTTTCCATAATAATAATCCAGGGTTATTGCAACTATTATTTTCATTTAGCATAAAAACAACCGGATGTATGTAAATGAGATCCATGCAATTAATAATAATTGTAAGGTTGAAACGTTCCGGTAGGTACGTAATACAATTAAAACCATTAGTGTCTATCTAGTAAGTTAATTGATATCTCTCCTTTTCAATTTATAAGGACGAAAACCTTATTAATTGGAATTGGTTGATGGTTTGGTTGTGGAGAGGTTGTGGATGTTGCTTGCGTTTTACGTTTTTAAATTTCCTCGATCGAATAAATAAAATGTCATGTGAAGGCACCATTTTTTTTATATTAATAAAATATAAACATAATAATTACAAATAATTTAAATTTATGTTGAATTGATATTCAATTATTTTTATGTGAAATTACTCCACTAGTTTGTTATAATTATTAATACATAGATCGGCTAAAAAGTCGTTGAAAAAACAAATACAAAGCACATAGAAAAATTCGTGAGGTCCGCTTGTTCGTTCCGTGGCTTAGTTGGTATAGTGTCTGGCACGGTATGCTAGACGACGTCGGGTCGAAGCCGGCCGGATCGAAGGATTTTTTTCTGAGTGTTCGATCTTTGCATTAATAATACAAATAATTTACCTACTAAAAATATTGCGTGCTATATTTTGCTACAGACGTCAAGAAGTTATGACAAAAATCTAAATATAACATGAATCCGAGAAAAAAAACCTTCGCAGATTGTGCCGGGTTAATTTGAATTGCCAAGTTGTTTACAAACGTCAGTAGCGAGGATATGCATCCTATACGTGATCTTAATGACAATGAAAAGTGTTGAATGTGCCCCACAGTGTGTTTTATGTAACAAATAATTGCAATTTTGCCTTAAAACACATTTATAGTACAGCAAAGGCTGGATATAAATTTTATTTTTCTGGGGATTTGTTCAGCGTATACATTGGATGTACCTATTTTGTTTTATTTGGGGTTTATTATTAGAGACTGAAAGATCTGCCATTGTATACTAAGTTCAAGCGCACTTAACATTTCGTCTTAATGAAATTAAGTGTACTTTTGGTTCAATCTTAAATGAAGCAGAAACATGAAGATATTTTACATAGATATATGTACATTCTTTGAGTTGTGGTCCGCACACTGCCATACAAATGTTAACGGGCTATTCAGATTTTCCAGTAAAACTACATGCTTAAACATACTTTATGGTTCTCGGGGCGAGTCGCAAATGTGCACTTCTGAGGTATTCCAGAAAAGGAGATAATTAAGTACATTTGTAATTTCAGTAATTTTACGAACCATAAGCGTTATTTGAGCATTGAACCCGTCAAACTAAACACTTTTTGCAAATTATGTGAAGTTCTAGAAACCCAATGATATTTTTAAATTTACGATGCTATAGGGAGTGATTCTCCTTATGAACATGGACACCATGTAGTGTGGTGTCACTCTCTCCCCGTTCAATACTAAACTTCATTTTGAAAGAACAGTTTTGACTTTCGATAACAGTGAGAGGAACTTATTTATGATATGGGACAAAAGCTGAAAATATATTGTATATGTTACTATGTTTAATACGTAATCAGATGGTTAACAGCAACACCACTTATATTTCAAATAAGTTGTGGCTCAGTATTGCACAAGGGTAATAGTTGCAATTTATGATATTGCGATATATTATTTAAGCAAGTGAAATTATACTTTAAATTGGGAATTTCGGCATTTTGCGTATAGCTCCCCGTAGTAATAACATGTTCTGGTAGCTACTACCGAACGCGCCGCCGCCGCACAGTGGGCCCAAATTGATCATTCTTGGACGTAGGAATAATTTTATTCTTATGTAATTTCTTGAAAAGCTGATTGTTTCAGAAAAAACAATTTTTAGTTTTTTTTTGTTTGGAGAAATAAACATTTTACTTTTTATCTCGAAATGTAGGAAAATGTAACGTGTGCGCTTTTTTTACAGTATTTGTCCAATCGTTCTCTATTAAGAAAAAAAAAAATCATCTACAGGTATGTGGCTTTACGAGTAAAAAGGTGGCAAAATTGTAGATTTGTTATTTATTTTCTAACACAATATACTAGTTTCTACTTAACTTTCGTGTTATTGTTATAACATTCTCTAAATTACACTAAAATTAATTTTTCTTTAGTCGTAGCTCACGCATTTTGTTAAAAATGTACATAAAAAAGTTAGCAATTTTGCCGCACCTTTACTTACAAAGCCGCAAGTACATGCAGACGGATTTTTTTTTCTACATATAAAATGATTGGAACTATTCTGTAAGTAATCCACGCACATTACATTTTCGTATATTTTGTGATAAAAAATAAAATGTATATTTATTCATACAAATAAAAAAATATTTTTTCTCCCAAACTATCAACATTTCAAAAAATTATACAAGAATAAAAATTGTTAGGAATGTTACTATCTATCATATCCACAAGTTATTCCTATGTAAAAATTATCAATTTGGGCCCTCTGTGCGCCGTTGCGAACAGTGTAAGTCTGTTTGTTTCGGCGCGTCAATGCCTACACCTCTCGCACCGTAGGGTTGTCACCAATGAAAAAAAAAAAAAAAAAAAAAAAAAAAGGGTTGTCACCAATGATCTTGTTACAGTATAATTTTAATTTTTTAACTGACTTCAAATTAGGAGGAGGTTCTCAATTTGATTATGTTTTTTTTGTATATATGTTACGCGATAACTCCGGCATTTGTCAACCGATTCTCATGACTCTTTTTGAGTTGGAAAGAGGGTACCTCCTTACTGGTCCCATTTAATTTTGAAGAAAATCATCCACTTCTAAGGGTGGCGTGCGTGAGCATGAAGATTCA